CTAAGGTCAAAAGCCACTGGCCTGGAGTGGCAGGGCTCATCTTGTCTCTCACAGTACTATAGTTGACCAAGTTAGACTCTAAGCAGGACTTCCAGGGGGAAGTGTGCCAACTAGCGTAGGTACAGGAGAAGAGGAGATCCAGGGTTGGGGGCAGCTATGGGACTTTGGCCAGGGCCCTTTGCCCTGCCCAGCCTCAGTTTCCCCTTGTATCCACTGGAGAGAAGAGGCCTCGTACTCCGGCCTCCCTCAGGACTCTCACAACAACGGAGACAGAACCATAATGCTGATCCCAGCAAGCATTGCGTGCTTGCTACCTGTGCCAGGCAGAGGGCAGTTTCTCCAGGGACGTCAGCAGGAGTAAGGCAGGCCAGGGGAGGTGGGCGCTGCTGCCCACAGGTCATCGCGCAGCCTTGTCCCCACTGCTCTCTCCCTTCCAGCCCCGCCAACCTCCTTTTCTGCCCTCAGAACCAACCAGTGACCTTCCATCTCTGAATCTGTTCCCACTGTGTCCTCTGTCTGCACATCCGTCCCGTCCTTCCCCAGATTCGTAAGTCTCCCTCGCTCCCACCTTCCCAGCCTCTGCTCCATGGCCTTCCACAGAGAGGCTCCCTCCCCACTGACACCCCCTCTTCCCAGAATCTCCCTCCCCCTTACATTGAGAAACATCTATCTGCACAGATGCTGCCATGTTGGGGCCCATCCCTGGGTGTCAGTCCGTCTCACAAGGGTCTCCCTTACCCTCTCTGGCCCCCTCCCGGAGCGGTTGATCCCTCCCGATGACGACGTGTCCTGAGTAGGGGACCCCGACCCTGCTCTGTGGGACCCACCAGGCTTTCATTGACTGGGTTTTGAATGTGGATCGCCAGGGCCGCCTTCCTAGTTTGTTTCAGCTCCAAAGTTCTGTGGAAGCTGGGCCCCGGTGACAGTTTCACCTGTAACAGGTGATCCTGCAGTCTTTCAAACACTGATGGCCTAGCTGCTGGCATTGACACCAACACACAAGTCACCACTGTATGACACACTGACAGACGGACGGTGGCTATATTCGCTTTCTTGGGTGAGAAATACCTCAGTCCTTGGCTTCGAGAGAGAAAGAATTCACTCCGAAGCCTGGTTTGTGATCCAAGTGAGTTTTTTATTAAAGAACAAAAGCAGTTTCAAGCATTACAGTAAACTGAACACAAGCCAGAGAGAGAGAGAGAGAGAGAGACACCTTGGCACAGCTGTGCGGGACTGGCTGCACTGAACTGTCTAGGAGCCTCCGGGAGAACCAGGGTGGTCTCATGTTTCGGGCTTTTCAGGCCACCCCACCCCACCTTGGGAGGCTAGGTCAATGGAACTGGTTGACCCCACTGGCTGAATTAAGCCCACCTGGCCTAGATGGGCCCAATCCAGGTGTACCGCCCACCTAGGTGTACCGCCCCCTGGCTTGGAGCCTGAATGTAAGCATGCCCCCCAGCCTTTATGGTTGGCTGGGCTCACCTGATTCTTTGCAGCAACCCCCTGTAGGGGCGCTTTGGCATAGAGAGGGACATCTCCCTCTCTGGCTACCTAACAGATACTGTGTATAAGGGTTAATAATACACTAACAAGCAGTGATATTCATGTTTCTCACCTGTAATCTCAGTTAGCTGGCATGTCTTGAAGGAGCCTTGGTGTGACGGCCCAATGGGCTAAAGCATTGGACTGCTAAGTGCCAGCTCGGTGGTTCAAGCCCACCAGCCTCTCCACAGGAGAAAGAGGAGGCTGTGTGCCACTGGAAAGACGGAGCAGTACTCCCTGTCCTGTAGGGTCTTTATGGGTCGGAACCGACTCAGTGGCCGTGAGCTTAGTTGTTTTGGAGCTTGAGGTTGTATTGGACTTCATGGATCCTTGGGAGGAAAGGTGGGCCATTTGCTGGTCATACAGACCGCCCCCCCCCAATAACACCATGGTGCATGGTAATCCACATAGGATCACAGGATACAGCTTTTACATGTTGGGTCCAGTATAGTTCTCAAGGACAGTGAGGTGGGTCCCACTCTTGTGCCCATTTTCCAGACGAGGACACCGTGTCCGCCACTTCCCTCAAGGTGCCACATCCGTAGAAGGCGAGGCCAGACCAGGCACCTTGAAAGCCTAGATTTTCTCAAGCGCCATGCCTCTCTGCCCCCTGCTCCCATCTCCAGGGACCTCGGTCATGGACCAGCCCGCTGGCCTGCAGGTCGACTACATCTTCCGGGGCGTGGAGCACGCTGTGCGGGTGGGGGTCTCTGGGCAGGTGCTGGAGCTGGAGGTGGAGGACCGGATGACGGCTGACCAGTGGCGGGGAGAGTTTGATGCCAGCTGTGAGTGTGGCGGCCTCCCCTCTCCCCAGAGGCCAAGGCCTCTCCCAGGGTGGGGTGGGGAGGGCTGGGGCCGGGCTGTTAGGCCCCTCCGTGGGAGCAGAGGAACAGGGTCGGAGTGGTGGAGAACTGGGATGCCCTGGGGCTGGGCAAGGGCGTCAGACCACGGAGGGACTTCTCTCCCATCCAGTCATCGAAGACTTGACCCACAAGACGGGGAACTTCAAACAGTTCAACATCTTCTGTAACATGCTAGAATCAGCCCTCACCCAGGTAGGGGCCAGTGTCGGGGCTGGGTGGGGGGGGGTCAGGTGGGCTGCGGGTGGGGGTGTGGTGTGGGCGTGGGGTGGGGTGGGGGAAGGTCTAGTCCCTGTGTGTGGGGCCACAGCTCTTCATCTGTCTGTCTTTCCCTCTCTTTGCTCCTTTCCCAAATGTAAACGGCTTTCCTTGTTTCCTTTCGCCTCTGGTGGCTTACACCCTGGACTGCGCACCGCAAGGTCAGCGGTTCGAATCCACCAGCCACTCTGTGGGAGAAAGACAGGCTGTGTGTTCCAGTAAAGAGTTCCAGTCTCAGACAAACCCACAGGGGCAGTTCTACCCTGTCCTACAGGGTCGCTGTGAGTCGGGTGGTCGATGGCAGGGAGTTTTTTTTTTATAATAAGTTAGAAGCCAGAGTTGATGGACGCCATTGGCTTTTCCCCCTTCTGCGTTGTGGCACCCATCTAACTGCCTTCCGCGCGGGGTGGCCCCCGACCCAGCACAGTTGCCCAGATGGCTGGAGGGTGTGGAGGAAGAGCCCCCACCGTTAAAGCTGCACCATGAGTGTCAAAGGAAACCTGCCTCCAACAGCCGAAGGGCCAGAAGGCGCAAATGTCCGGCGATGATATAGAAAGAAGAGAGTAAAGTCAGAGCATAAGAAAGATAGGAGAGAGAGTAAAAGAGAGGAGTCAGACAGTTTATGGTAGCTTGCCTCCTCTTGATGGACCACGTGGAACTGTGAGAGAGAACCTTTCCTGTCTCGGCACATTGATAGGTCGCCATCAGAACATGCGTCACCAGGTGGGTGGTATCTACATTGAGGTCCCTGAGTTCACAGGTGAGAAAACCGAATACCTGCATTGGGGGAAGGTACCAGGGCATGGGGCCATGGCGGGAAGAGAGACGAGGATGATGTCTGCTTCTCCAGGGAGATAGAATCAACCGTGCACTCACTTTCAGGCAGCATAGCTGTTCAGGGGAGGATCGGTGGAATGATTTATGTACTTGGACTTGACCTCTAACTGACCCATATGGAGTCTTTCCTACGGTGGAAGACCAGCTTTCCAGATTCCCTGTGTCATAAGTTAGGGAACAGAGTCCTCATCCTGTTTCCCTCCGTGTTAGTTTCCCACACACTCGTGCAAATGCCACCAAAGCGGACAGGGGAACGAACGATTAATGTTCTTTTGAAGAGAGTTTGATCTCATGGATGCCCCGGAAGGATCTCGGGGGACCCCTGAGGGGCCTACCCCCAAGAGGTTCCTCCAAGGTTGGACAGTTAGGGCCTTCCCCATTCTCCTCATCTTCCTGTCTGTCACTGCCCTGTGTCGGGTCCCACCCCCACGCTCACTGCTGCCCCAGGTGCCAGCTGGGATAGGGCCTGCGGCTTCCTGTGTGTCTACGTCGGCTTCCTGGGTGTCTACGTCGGCTACCGGGGTAGCTCCTCTCTCCGTCTCCTGACAGAGCAGCGAGTCGGTCACCCTCGACCTGCTGACCTACACAGACCTGGAGTCCCTGCGGAACCGCAAGCTGGGGGCCCGCCCAGGCCCCTTGGCCCCGAGATCGGCCCAACTCAACTCCAAGCGCTACCTGATCCTCATCTACTCGGTGGAGTTTGACAGGTGGGGACAAGGGGCTGTTGGGTGGGTCGGGCCAGAGAGAATGTGGTGGCCCTTAGGTGTGGGGGAAGGCCAGCCCCCCACAACTAATTGATAGACGCAATTGTACAGTTGAGATATATAAAGATTATAATAAAGTCATAGAGAATAAGGAGAGATAGAAGAGAGATTGAAATAATGGAGTCAGACACATTTCATGGTAGCATGCTCACCTCAGCCCCACTTGGTGGTCCACGTGGAGATGGGACATCGGAGGGCAGGAGAGAGGGGAGGGGAAGGAGGACAAGGGGAAAGGGAACAGGGGAGCGAAGACAGGGGAGAGGAAGGGAGAGCAGAGAGCCAGAGCCAGGGAGAGCAGCTTTATTGCTAACCAAGGCTTATATATCTTTGGGGAACGTGCAAGCCCACTAATTACAGATAAAGACCTATGTCACAGGAAGGGGTTGCACTATAGGTAATACAGCAACGAGAGGGGGACAATCTAGGGACATACACGCAATAGGAAGGGGAGGGATTGGTGCACACGTGTGACAAGGTGGGCAGATCCTAGATTTGGGATGGCAGACTAACTTTGGATGTCACTGAACCGGCTTGACCCAGTCTGGCTCACATCAGTAGGGTGTGAACTGCACCTAAGGTGGACCAGCAGCAGTCTGAATGCCTTCTGGGAGAAAATCTTTAAGTATCTGACCTCTCCCCATGTGCTGGCAAAGAGCCTCAAATGTTTGGCATATCTTTGGGGGAGACAAAGCTGGGGACAAGTCTTATATCCCACACTCAGGGACCCCTCCCAGGGACCCAGGGCAGGGTGGGGATGCCTGGTGCTGGGGTTGTCTCTGTGTCTCAGTGCGTGCTGACACGTAGCAGGACAGCGCCCCCCAGTGCCTGCCACAACGGATGCTCTCTTCTCGCAGAACCAGACGTCTCTTAGGTGCCCGCTGCCCAGCTATTCCATGAAGGGCCCAGGCTCATTCTTCAGTTCCCCCTGCCATCCTGAAGCGTGCTGGCATGTTATTTTTGCCTGTCTTAGCTCTTCATGGTCACAAACCGGCTGCGGTGCCTGCAGGCTTTGCATCTGGGGCAAAGGCAGGAAAGGGGCCCAGGCTGTTTGTTTGTGGTTTAAATCAAGAGAACAAAAGCTTTCCCCAAGACCCCCTAAGAGATTTCCTGTAAGTGGTCACATGGCCTTGCGTAGGTGCAATGAACATTCATCTTTCTAGCCAATACCGGGAGGCAGCTAGGGAGGAGGGAGCTGAAGTTGCCCACTGGGTGGGCTGGGGGACCGTATCTGCCACATTGGCTGATAGCTCTCGAATTTTCTAGTGGGAAGTCATCAATCTTCTTGGAATAGGCTTGGGGGCCGGCAGTTAACCCCTTGGCCAACGGATGACTCAGGTCAGGCCAACTGAGGACATTCCACCCCGTGCCCTGCCGTGGGATCTGAATTAGGAGTGTGCTTGGCTGCAAGTAGGAACCCTGGGTGCATAGCGTTTACGAGTTGGGCTGCGAACTGCAACGTCGGTAGTTCGAAATCAGCAGCTGCTCTGAGGGAGGAAGATGAGGCTTTCTGCTCCAGTGAAGAGTGACAGCCCGGAAGCTCACCAGGGCAGTTCTACCCTGTCCTGTAGGGTCACCGTGAGTCGGCTTGGACTTGATGGTAGTGAGGTTGGATGGATTGGCCAACATAGATTTCTTCCAGCAGCGCGTGTGAGGGACGGTTCTTCCCACAGTGCCTCCGGGGCCATCTATCTAGACGGTTCTGACACTACCAGGAGGGCCGAAGGGGTGGCAGGCTGAGGGGAGGGGCCTGGCCTCAGGGGCAAGGCTCAGACCTGTGTTCAGAGTGGAGCTTCCTGGAAGAGCAGGGGAGGGCAGTGGTGACCGCCTCACGGGCTCTGGGTCTCTCAGACGCTGAGGTTCTGACCCCCTCTCCTCAGGATCCACTACCCGCTGCCCCTCCCGTACCAGGGCAAGCCGGACCCCGTGGTTCTCCAGGGCATCATTCGCTCGCTGCGGGAGGAGCTGGGCCGCCTTCGAGGGCTGGGCGGCCAGGAGACCCGCGACACCCGGGACTCGGAGATCTGGCACCTGCGGGAGCAGTGAGTGTGCTTGGGAGTGGGGTGAAATTGATGGGTGAAATCAAGGGGGGATACCTACCAGCATGCACTGTGGGAAACCTGAACCCCAACCATACCATCGAGTCGATTCCCACTCAGTGACCTTGTAGGGCAGAGTAGAACTGCCCCTGTGGCGTTCCAAGGTTGTCAGTTTCTATGGAAACCATCGGCCTCATCTTTCTACCAAGGAGTGATGGGTGGGCTCGAACTGCCGACCTTTGTGTTAATGGCTGAGTGCTTAAGCACTGTGCTCCCAGGCATCCTGGCTGTGTGCTGTAGAAGGCCTGGATTGGTGATTCTGCCTCCACCTGGCTGAGGCCCAGCTTCGGGGCACAGGGGGACTCATAATATCTTCAGTAATAGTAATACTTTGCTGTTGTTGTGTATGTGTGGAGTTGATTCCAACAGCTAGCCATCCAGTGACCGCGCAGAAGTGCCCGGGAGATCAGAATGGCCATTTTCATGGAAGCCAACTGACACACCTTTCTTGTGTGCAATCACTGAGTAGGTCCCAGCCACTACCCTCTGGGTTAACAACCCAGCCCTTCAGGGTGGCTCCACTAGGGTCCCTTCATCGGCATGGCCATCAGCAGCAGCACACTGTAACAATATGGCGCAGGCCCAAGCAGGTGCTATACATTGAGTTGCTATGAGTCGAATGGACTCGTTGCCACCCACCAGCAACAACGTAGTAATGATAGCAGTAGCACGTCTTGAACGCTCAAGTGTTTAATTGTGTACGAGGGACTCTGCTCCGTGTTGTATCATGTTTTCATCCATTTCATTCTCATCACCACCGCAGGCGGTAGGTACCGCTATCATCCCCCCAGTACAGTGGAGGTGGCCGAGATTCTGAGAGGTTAAGGAACGATACAGCCTGTAATCTGGGCAGGCCAGACCTTGTATCCAGGCAGCCTGCGTGGCTGCTGTGTGCTGTTCGCAAAGTTGCCAGCCCAGGGCTTAGTGCTCGCTGCTGATGGGGAGGACCTGTGCCTGTCCAGAGCCTGGAGTGCTCCACGGGTCCTGACTGCACGGGAGGCAGAGAGGAGGGGAGGGGCTGGACAAGTCCCCCTCAGGCTCCATCCTCAGGTCTTGTTGGATGAGAAGTCAGGTCCAGAGCAAGTTGCTCTCAGGCCGACCACAAGGTGGCGCCACCTGCCTTTCCGAACCAACCTGAGACATTACTGCCCGGAGGTGGTCAAACCCCAAACCCCAAACCCCCTGGCACCCAGTCGATTCCCACGCTCAGGGCCCTTTCAGACAGGATAGGACTGCCCGTTGGGGTTCCTGCGACTTTAAATCTTTATGGGAGCAGGAAGCCTCAGCTTTCTCCTGCAGAGGAGCTGGTGGCTTTGAACCACTCACCTCCCTGTTAGAAGCTCCGTGGGCCGCCCATTAAAGCTGGTGCAGTGGGTCAGGGCTCATCGTTTTCCTCCCACTCTGGAGTGAGGGTAGGTTCTGGGCCCATTCTTCCATGCATCCAAGCTTACCACGTTCACACTGCCAGGCACAGACCGTGGGCCAGATGTGGGCTCAGCCCTCTTCAGAGAACCTCATCCCGAAGCATCGCCCCGTACTCCATAACCCTCAACCCCAGAAGAGAACACCGAGGCCCAGAGCCCTGTGGAAAGAAGACAGTTGTGGAAACCCTGGGGTTGCAGTGAGAGTGGGATTCAGCCCAACAGTCGGGGTCTTTTAGAGCTGGACGCAGAGCCCAGGAGCCTGGGCATGCTGAACCAGAAAGTTGGCGATCCCATCCTTGCGAGGGCCGGGAAGGCAGACAAGAAACAGATAAGCTCACAGATAAATGCCAGTTCTACATGCTCCTTAGGAGCCCTGGTTGCCTAGTGGTTCCTGATGGGCTGCTAACTGCAGTCAGCAGTTCGAAACCACCAGCCGCTCTGCAGGACAGGCTTTCTGCTCTTGTAAGGAGTCTCGGAAACACCAGGGTGGGGGGCAGTTCTACCCTGTCCTATAAGGTCACAATGGACTTGATGTCAGGGTGGCTTTTTTTTTGTTTTTGAACCAGCCCCCTGGAGATGGAGTCCCAGGGGGACGGCTGGGCTGATGGGGCCGGTGCCCCTCTGGTGGGGGAGGCCAAGGGTGATGAGGTCAGCCGCTCTTCCCTCAGGGTCTCACGCCTGTCCTCCGAGAAGCGGGAGCTGGAGCAGCAGCTGGGCCGCTCCCG